TCAGGATCACTCTGGCAGCACTTGGGACTGAGGTTCAGCCCCTGAGCCCCCAGCAGAGACCCCCGAGCCTCTCCCAGCTGATCCCAGCCAAGGGCAGAGCAGCCAGGGCGGGTGGGTTCTGCTCCTCCCTCATCCCACAGCGCAGATTCCTCTGCCCTGAGATATCAGCGAGTGAAAACTGAGCTTATGAGAGCTGGCAAATCTGCTGATCGCTGCGTTTTTTAGCATGAGAATTTTCTAATAAAAAAGAACCTTGGGGCTCTTCATGAATTAGGCATCAGGAGCTGGAGCAAACAGCTGAAGGTGCCCCAGCAAAGCCCTTGCTCACACGGAGCTGTGAGAGCAGGATTTGCTGAGAATCCCTTCCCCACCAGAGCTCGGTGGCCCTGCCTTGCCCTGCCTGTTTCCAGGTGGATTATGGACTTTTCCTGACTGCACAATAAATCCCTGCCCTGCCCTCAGGGCTCAGGGAAGGAACACAAACAAGGATTGAACCCCAGCACAGCATCCCTGCCCTGCCACATCCCTGCTGCCCAAATTCAGAGCTCCCTTCCCTGCCAGCACTGATTCCTCTGCTCTCAACACTAAGGCTGAATGGAGAATTTTTCATTCCTGTTTTTTAAATTCCCTCTTTTTTTTTTTTTTTTTTTTTTTGGCCAACATTTTCTCATTTCTCTGTGTCCTGCGTTGGCAGCTGCAGCGTGGCAGGAGGGTTTGGGGATGTGCCCCCCATTCCCACAGCCCTGTGGGGTTGGGGAACACCCAGAGCCCTCACCCTGCCCCAACTCGGAGGGGTTTGGGTGTGTGGGGCACATGGAAGAGGATGGGGCAGTTTTTGGTGGCCCCACAGCAAACCCCACACTGCCAGTGCTGGAGTGCCAGGCTCCATCCTCTCCCTGCTCCTCCTCACTCATGGCAGTTCATGCAAGGATTTGAAAATTGTTGAAGATTCTTTTAAAAGAAATGCTTTCTCCCTCTCCTTTATTATTTTTTTTTTCCTCCAACCCCCTCCATGGCAGCTGTGAAATGTGGATTATTTACCTCCAGACTGGGCACGAGGCAGACCCAGCCTCAGAAGTAAATGCATATTCAGTCTTTAAGGCATATTTATCCATGTAAATACATATTTTGGTATACACATTCTTCAAAACACAGTTCTGTGGACTCCGTGGAGGTTTTGGTAGCAGAACATTTGCCATTGTCTATTTCGAACACTTGCTCAGAAAATGTGCAAAAAAAGCAGCTGTCACTGGGATGGGTTTAACACTCCTGGATCTTAAAAACAGCATCGACTCTAAAAAAAAAAAAACCTATTGAAAAGTTTAAAAAAAGCTGTCTGGCTCTGAAGGATCCTGCCAACTACAAACCCTTGAGAAACTGCCTTTGTTCCTGAGCTGTGAGACACCCCTCAGCTGAGTGGCAGCACCGTGCCAGGGCCACAGCAGGGTCACAGCAGGGTCACAGCAGTGTCAGTGTCACAGCAGTGTCAGTGTCACAGCAGTGTCAGTGTCACAGCAGTGTCAGGGTCACAGCAGGGTCACAGCAGGGTCAGTGTCACAGCAGTGTCACAGCAGGGTCACAGCAGTGTCAGTGTCACAGCAGTGTCACAGCAGGGTCAGGGTCACAGCAGTGTCTCAGCAGGGTCACAGCAGGGTCAGTGTCACAGCAGTGTCAGTGTCACAGCAGTGTCACAGCAGGGTCAGTGTCACAGCAGTGTCAGTGTCACAGCAGTGTCACAGCAGGGTCAGTGTCACAGCAGTGTCAGTGTCTCAGCAGGGTCACAGCAGGGTCACAGCAGGGTGGGGACACAGCCCTGAGTGACCTCCCAGCCTGGGGGCTCCCCTGATGGAAATCCCCAGCCGAACCTTTTGTTTCCGTGTTGGGAAGGGGGGAATCAGTGGGGTCAGACAGGACAGGGTGAGGAAGCCCAGAACAAACCCAGAGTGCGCCCCACAAGGGACAGGGCTGGCACCGGGGGGTCCCTCCCAGCCCCAAACCCTCTCCCATGGCTGTGGTCACTCTGTGGTGCCAGTTTTGGGAGCACAGATGCCAGCCTGTCCCAGCCCAGCTCACCCAGAACCAGGTGTCCCCTTCTGTCCCCATCTGTCCCCTTCTGTCCCCATCTGTCCCCATCTGCTGCAGCTCCAGTCCTGCCCAAACCCCCAAACCCCCAAACCCCCAAATCCCCCAATCCCCCAATCCAGGCTGCAGAGCCCCTGTGGTCCCTCCCACCCCCCAGCACTGCCAGCACGCTCCTGCCCCACAGAGACCCCCCTGGCACCCAGACACAGCTCCCAGCTCTGCTCTTCTTGTGGCTTTGGGTTTTTCCTTCTGGGATCCTCAAGGGGGATGTTCCCCCCCCCATCCAGGTGGAAATCAAACATGGCACAGGACATCTCGTCCCTGTCTGTCACCCAGAGCCTCTCCCTGGTGCAAATGCAAACATTCAACACTTCACTGTGTATTCTTTTCTTTTTTTCTTTTTTTTTTTTTTCCATATTTAATAAAGCTGCCGTTCATTCTATTCTGTTGCTGGAAAGGTCAGGTTCCAAATTTCAGGAGTCACTGGAATGCAGTGTATCATTGGAATGCAGGGTTTGATCCAGCCACAGTATAGAACCCTCTCCCAATTTCACACAAGGGGTGGGGTTATCCATATCCTTATTTTTTCCTTCAAAAAACTGCACTGACACAAGACTTCCTGCAGCACCACTGTTTCTAGTGAATGGATTCTAAAATAGAGCACTTTAAAGCTGCAATACAAGAGAGATCACGATATCAGGGCTGATAAACTCACTGGAGTCGAGTTTGCACCCTTTCCTTGCAGAATGGCTTCCTTCATGTTATTCCAGGTTTTAAAAAACGCCTGAAAACATTTCTGAAAACAGCAACTGCTTGGCACACGCTGTAAATAATGAGAGAAATGATGCAGTCTGTCAGTGAACACGTGCAAAGAGACCCGGGATGGGTTTTTGCCACCTTTGGGAGTGAAATTCTCTGTTCCTGCCCCTTCTCAGCAGGGACAGCAGAGGCGCTGAGCCCAGGAAACTCAGAGTCCTCCTTGATGAAAAAAAATGGGATTTTGGGACAGCTGAGTGTTCCCAGTGCTCGGCCGAGCTGCTCACCTGCTGCGAGGAGAAAAAAAAATGGGGAAAATGGGAAATTTGTGTCACTTCCTGGAGCTCAAACACAGAACCTGGGAATGATCACAGTGAAAGTGGAGGTGTGACCCCCAAGGCCAGGCTGGATGGGCTTGGAGCAGCCTGGGATGGTGGAAATGTCCCTGTCCCTGTCCCTGTCCCTGTCCCCATCCCCATCCCCATCCCTGTCCCTGTCCCTTTCCCTGTCCCGGGCAGGGGTGGGGTGGGGTGGGACAGGTTTTGGGGGTCCCTTCCAACCCAGCCCAGCCTGGGATTCTGTGACAACAATTTCGTTATTCCTGCTGTCATTTATTGTTTGTGAGCAAGTCAGGAGCTCTTGGGGCCACCTGGGCTCGTGGTGTCCAGGGGCTGCTGGCCAGGGCCACCCCGGGGAGTCACACAGGTGGCAGCTCTCGGTCAGGTGTAAAGTGTGAGCAGCATCTGTGTGCAGGGCTTGAAGGGATAAAAAACCACCACGACACACGATTTCTGAGCTTGGTCCTTCTGTGTCACAGCAGTGTCCTCTCGAGGGTCAGCGTGGGATGGGGGTGAGGGCTGGGAGGGGAGCAGGTTCCCCCAAATCCTGTCTGTCCAGGTCCCCCCAAATCCTGTCTGCCAGATCCCCCAAATCCTGCCTGTCCTGGTCCCCCAAATCCTGTCTGCCAGATCCCCCAAATCCTGCCTGTCCTGATCCCCCCAAATCCTGCCAGTCCTGCTCCCCAAATCCTGCCTGTCCTGGTCTTCCCCAAATCCTGCCTGTCCTGGTCTCCCCCAAATCCTGCCTGTCCTGGTCCCCAAGTCCTGCCGGTCCTGGTGGCTCTCCCAAGCACAGCCTCGTGCCCCCAGCAGGAGCACCCTCGCTGCCACAGGGATATGTGGAGTTTCAATTCTGTTTGATACTCCAGGGATCTGCAGGTGTCTCACGGTTCAAAGCATCCTTTATCATCGCTAAATCAGCCAAACCAGTACAAAATTGAGTGCAAGAAAAATACCAATTCACGCCGGCTTTGCCGGTAATACAAAAGGGAGGGTCCTGACATTTGCAGCCAGGTGGGAATTTGGCTTTAGGGGAACGCTCCGACATTCAAAAGGTGCCACAAAACAATTTGAGCTCTGTTTTTCTAACGGGAAATGTCGTTTTTACAGAGGTCAGTGGTGGCGGAGGGAGGAACAGAGAGGAGCTGGTGCCAGCCTTGAGCTAAACCCCGTCCCTGGAGCAGCTCCTGCAGGTGGCACAGGAGCCTCCCCGGGCACCTCTGCCCTCCCCGGGACATTCCTGATGCTCCAAAGGATGCTCCAGCATCTCCCAAAACACATTCCAGACCGGTTGGAGAGGAAGAGGAAAGTCGTGTTTCATGAAGGCACAACCATGCTGAATTGGCAGGAAGGAGGGAAGAGAACAAAAGCAGTACTGCACAACGCAGTTATAGTACAAGGCTCATTCTTGAAACCTGAATATCATGCTAGAAGAAAATCTAGATATGTGTAATATTTTGAAGAAATATTTTGAAGGCAATATTATTTGATTTTTTTTTTTTTTTTTACTCAAAAAAGAACAAATGTTTTTTGTGTAAGTTTGGATAGAATGCTAGTCGAGGAGGGAACTGAGTGTTTGTATTGCAGCCTTAAAGAAGCACATTTTTACTGCAATATCTTTTTTTTTTTTTTTTTTGTAAACTACAGCCTGCGACTCAGCAGACCATGACTGAATGCTTCTGAAAACTCGTCGATTACAAACATGAAATCACAATTAATATCCTCTAAAAGTAATTTCAGAGTTCTCACGTCTTAGAAAAGGACAATGTGTACTGCTCCACAAGGTAATGCAGCTAATCCGAAAAAAAAAAAAAAAGAAAAAAAAAAGAAAAGAAAAAAAAAAAAGAAAAAGGAGTCGAATTAAAGTATTTACATAATGAGCAATTCCACAGAAGGCGATCATCCCCGTGTCAGCACTGGTTACATCCCACGCCGCTTTTCACAAACTCTACCGGGTTGGATCCAGCCATCAGCGCTTTTCCACACAATCCTTAAAAGCCTCCTTTGGGTCTTTTACAGGTGGTGCAGGAGGATGTTCTTCAGGTAGAACACGCTGCTGAGGGAGGAGAGCGCCAGCACCAGGGACCAGCAGGAGAGCAGCACCTCGGCGTGCCCGGTGATGCCGTACTGGGCTGTACTGGGAGCTGCAACACAAGCACAGGGTGTGGTCACTGGGCTGAAAAGAGAGAGGAAGGACAGCGAAAAGGGCAATTTATTGTACAGCCAGCCCGGATTTAAAGTGTGTCAGTGCAGCCAGGACAGGACAGGAGCTCATGGGACAATTGGGAAAAACATCCTTGGGACAGCACCTCAGGATGTGTCCCACGGGAAAGACACCAGGGGTTAATGTTGGTGATGAATTCCACTCTGTTTGTCACCGTGTTGTCACCCTGGGAGACTCCTCCCTAACTGAAGCTGCAGTCAGCTTGTCAGCCTGGGAATGGAGCTGAGAGTCAGGAGAAATCCAGGCCTGGGAAGGATTCCCAAGCTGGAATTCCCCAGCTCTGTGAATGTGAGTGTCCACACAGGGGTCACTCACCAGCACCACTGCCCTGCTTCCCTTTTAACAAACACACCTCTAACATTTAAAGGCTATTAAAGACTATTAAACACTATTAAAGACTATTAAAGGCTATCAGCATGGTTTGCTCAATTCTTGATCTACCCTGAGTAATTATTCTCAGCTGTGTTATAGTTTTAAGTACTTATTAAATGATTGGCTTTTTGCAGATATTCAAATCGATGTGTATAATGCTGGAAAACTTTGCTGTATGAATGTTGCTTCTTTTAGTTGTGCTATTAACAACACCTAGAAATAGTAGTGTGATAAATATACATTTTTGGACTATAACATGGTGATGTAAAAAGCTTTTTGTTCATGGAACTGACTGAGAGAATGGTAAAAAGATAATCAGGAAATTTTTCACATTCTTGGATTCTCCTCTCTGGATGAAGAACACCAGAATTCCAGGGAAGGAATTTATCGATCAGGGAGTTGCCACAGGATGGAGCCATCAAAAAAAAGTTGATTTACAGGTTGGGGGGGATGATTTTGAATAATTCATGAATGTCTATGAACATGCAACAGGTTGATGCATTTAAAGAAGTGTTCTCTGAGTTGAGGGGTGCTGAATGTCCAGCACCCTGCTGTTATAACCTTTTGCTTTATTGTCTCTTGTCATCTTTTATTAAACTTTTGCTTTATTTTCTCTTGGTGTCTTTTATTAAACTTTTAAAAAATCTGCCAGGAAACGGAACCTCGTTTTCCAGAGGCAGTTCCCTGAGGAAAGCAGGAACGCTGTGAGCACAGCCCAGCCCTGCCCAGGGACCAGCCCCGCCGGCTCCAGGAGCAGGAACTGCTCTTAGGGCAAGCACTTGAGAATTGGGAGTGCTTCATTTTTTACCAGCTGAATAATTGATCCATTTTTAAGGCGCTGAGCATTAAGATCTGCAGTGCAATCAATGAGAGGGGACTGGATTAAGCTCTCGTGGAGAACAGCTCATTTCCCTTCCAGAAGCCACGGTCTGACAACTGTGCTCAGCCAAAGACATTAATACTTATTTTGAAGAAATTGTATTTATTTGTTTACCACCAAGCCTTTCTCCAGTTCCTGGGCTTTTACCACGCCGGGTGCAAAGAGGGGAAATAGAAAAATCAGCGTTGAGGAGCAAGGGAGGGGCTGGTCCCTGGGGCTGGGCTGGGGCAGGGATGGGACAGGGAGGGATTTGGGGTCCCTCCCAACCCAAACCACCCCAGGATTCTGTGGAACCCTTGGGTTTGCTTTTGGAGAGCACGAGGAGCTGCTCCTCCATCTGTTAGTGCTGAAAACTCAGAATCCCAGAATGATTACAGGCTGGTGCTTTATTGAAGAGCCCTGGGAATCAGGGGTGCAACCCCAAATCTGACTCCCACATGGATCCCAGATGGACACGTTTTTATACCCTTTTCATAATATAGTATAATTAATATAATATAATATAATATAATATATAATGTATAATATATATCATATATATCATATATAATAGGTAATATAAATTATATGGTATATTATATTTTAATTATTAAACCCATATTGTTCTATTGTATACTATATATATATATATAGATCTTATCCAAGCATGAATTCTTGTCATTCTCATCAGGGCCCCCCAAATATCCTTTCTCATGATTCTTGTTACAATTAACCAATAATCAAATTCAATTAGCCAGCAATGGTTACATTTATCAATCACATCATTTATCCCATGACGATTGCACAGGTGTAGCTTCACATGATGTAGAAACCCCAAAGCTCAATATTCCTTCCCAGGGCCCAGTTCCCTTTCCCAGGCCTGACTGTTCTTTGCAGTTCCCATAATTTTTAGGGACGTTTCCCCCCTGTGCTGTCACATCCTGCCCCAATTCCTGTTTGCTGTCACAGCCTCTCCCCAGTCGTGTCCAGCCCCAAAATCCGGGAGCACGAAGCTCCCTCTGCTCTCTGTGCCTGGCCCTGCAGCTCCATTTTTACTGGGTGACAATTTTATTTGACGTGGCACAGCCCCAAATCCTCTGTCCCCACCCCTCGTGCAGAAAGGTTCAGGTAATAAACCCAAAACAAAACAAGATTAAACTGGGTTTTGAAGCTTAGTTTAGTGACTGATGGCTGTGACTAACTGCAGGCCAGGGCACTTCCTCTCCTCTCATTAAAAAGAGACTTTCTGTGCTAAGTCAGGATGACAAATCAACCTTTAATTTATTACAAGGGCTGGGTGAGGAAGCTGAAGCATAACACAGGTGCTATTTCATTTTATGGTATGAAAAGAGTTTCCTCAACTTAAAGATAATTTGAACTAAGGTGGCTATAAAAGCGAGCAGAAAATTATGTAAATCTGATTTCCTGCATATGAACCAGCTCTGTCTTCCCAAGGCTTATTAAATCATACCTGGATTGTTTCTGCACAAAGGCAGGGGGGGAGTTAATGGGGGGAAAACGCTCTGACTTGAGGAGATAATAGAGAAGAGTTACAGCTCCCAGAGCTGCCTAAAGCAGGAGAATGGGATGGGAAAGGAACCTGAAGGAGGAGCAAAGCTGGAGAAGCTTAATTCTCAATTTTGATGTCACACGAGGCCTGCTGGATGACACACGGCTTAAAATATTGGGTTAGACCCTTAAAAATCCTTACAAATTAATAATCTTAAAAATTAATAATCTCCTGCAGACTTTTCCTGTTCCCCCCTCAGAATTCTGATTCACTTTTCCTGTGGCTCCCCGGATTCTTTGCTGGCCAAGCAAAACGCTGCTGCAGGATATTAATAAAATCCCGTAGATTTGTGCTGATATATGAGCTTTAAAAATAAACACACATTTAAAATTTAAAGACTCTTGGCATGGTCTGCTCAGTCCTTGATCTACCCCGAGTAATTATTTAGGTAAGGACTGAGCAGCCCTTGATTTGCTGAGCGTTTGCTGTGCCAGGACATGCAAGGTCACTTTGTTCTTGGACTTGGCAATTTCCAAAGCACTTTTGGGTGGTTCTCTGTGTCACACCAGGGAAAAATGGAAAGGTTTGGATGTTTGAGAGCAGGGTAAACCAGCTGCCTCTTTTTCCCCCCCCACTGAAATATTTCCCTGTCATTGTTTCTCTCACACACACACGAGCTCCCAGCTTTAATATTTCTGCAGCGTGGAGCAATGTGTGATTAGGCTTCAAATAAAAACTGCAATTATTCGAGTCTGTGATTACACCTGCAGCCATCCTGGGCATTTCCATTACCCTGAGCTGCTTTTCCAGAGGGCAAAGAGAGCTGTGCCAGGGGAGGCTGGGGCTGGGCACCAGGAATTTCTCCATGGGAAGGGCAGGTTTGGATTCCCCATCCCTGGGGGAGTTTTCCAGACCCTGTGGATGTGGGGACAGGGGTCAGGGGATGGTTGGACTCCACGGTCTGGGAGGGCTTTTCCAACCTAAATGATTCCATGATTTTATCATCTGCAAATTCACTTCAGAGCCCTGGGAGCGATACCTTGGCATGCCTGGAAAGAAAGTGGATTTCCATCTAGGAAAAGATTAAAAGGAGCTCCACGAGCAGCCTGATGTCTGAAAAATCAACTGACCCAGGATTTAGAAGACACAAAGAGTTGAAAATGCCAGCTGCAGCCGCTGAGGGGTAATAATTTAGTTCTAAATCGGATTTTCCTTGGAGGCAGAGAGGCTGCATCCCTCAGGGTGAGGGAGGGACACACCCAGAGCATCTCCAGGGGCTGGGACGGGACCCACTGGGACTCCCAGCGTGACTGGGGCTGGAAACTGAGCCTGGAGGGGACCCTAAAAATCCTCAGAGGGGAAGGAGAAATCCCTGCCACGGCACCACCCCAGTGCCAGCACACCTCGGGTGCCTCTGCAAGCTCCTTTCTTCCCATTCAGGGATTATTGTACCTAATCCTAATGTTTTACACCAGCCAGCACCCGTGGAAATATTTAAGACACCCTCAGCACAGATAGGATTATATTCAGACATCTCTCCTGGTGCTGAATAGAAAGGAACAAAGTAATATTATATCAGTATCTCTAATTAATACAAGAGATTAGGAGAAGTGCTATGCTGGAACACATAAACCAGCATTTCCTAGCACCAAGGGCTGCATTAACCAGAAATAATTATAAGCTTTAATGCTGATGCTGTGTAGACAAAAGCACAGACCCCTTTAGGTTGTCTGAATAAGCAAGACTAATTCTGTTAAATGGATTATGCAGGGAGATGTTAATAAACATTTCATTTAACTACATTCAGGTTAATCGTTTACTAAAGGGAAGCCTTAATAAATCGGATTTTTTGGTGCAACACTTAAAATATACAGAGAAGGAAGGAATAAACTACCTCAAGGTCAAAGCAGTAAGGCAAAAAAAAAAAAAAAAAAAA